TGAATTGATGGGCAAACGAATTGTAACGAGCACTAATAATAGATGGATGTTTTCGTCACCTGTACGGCCGAGTTTATGTAGCAGGTGTTGCCGAGATTGACTAAGCCTGTGAGACTTGGCCCATAAAGTGGTGTGAGGGTGCGATCAGCTTCCTGCAGAGTGAGCCACTCGCCCAGTCGCTCGTTCGCTTCTACTTCCATCTCCATCACGGTGCGATCGGTCTTGCGCTGACGCTGCATGTCAATTCCAAAGTGAGCAAGATGCTGCGCCAACAGTGGGTCAGTCACCATGTCGTCCTCTGCGTAAGAGAAGACTTCTGCACTCTACAATGCAGAAGAGTCAATGAAGTACGTTCGGGACCCGTCTACCCATCCATCGCCATTACTACACAACCGCTTCTCCAACTAGCCATCTACCTCCATCCACCAAGATCGCTCATAATCCACTCACCCACTTACGGATCCATTTCTCAGGTGTTCATCTATTCGTCCACTCATTACTCTAAACATTTATCCAACCAAATAACCAATTATCCATCGCCTCGACATCTATTAGTCAGTTTATCTTTCCCGCCAACCCATCACTCATTCTTGGCACACACATCTACCCGTCTCAAATACCTTCATTTACTCCACATTTTATGCATCCTTCCATTCATCTCGCAACTGTACAACCACCTCCGGGTCATATATACGCCTACATACACATTCCATTCCTCCATCCCAATTCATTCTTTCGTCCAAACACACAGCAATCCCTAATTCATCCATCCATCTGCACTCTCCTCTTCCACCCAACATTCATTCGCGCACCAAAGCGTCCATCCATTTTCATTCAATTCATAACCTTCCTCCATCGAATCATTGACTTTCTTCATTCCAACCCCTTGCAATACCTTCTTCGCAGAATCGTTGAGTCATCCAAAACTATCTACAGCACAGTGTATCATCAAAGCATAGAGGGCACCTGAAAACAGCGCAGGATTTACAGAAAAATCAGTCATTAGGCCGAAAAACTAGAATAAACCAAAGTACCAACAACTTACAGTGGGTGTGATTGTACCCAATTTCACAGCCAGAGGGTATTTGGTACGCTCATAGTGCTCAATCGCATGATTGTTGCCGCCCGAACCGTCCCAGAACC